CCCCATGCCGCCCAAGCCCCTCCACCCTCATCACCCACACCCCACACACAGCCATCAGCCGTATCATACTCACCCACATCAATGCTCAAGCCCAATCGCCATACCCACCACCTCTTCGCCAGTCCCGCCACCCACGTCACGACCCCCCTCATCCCCCCTACCATACTCATTACGCCCCATCACCACAAACGACCACCCCCACCCCCTACCCCACCACCATCACTTCCATCCCAGCCACAACTCCCACCCCCATGCCATGGCCAAGCCAACCATCATCCCATCGCGCACTCGGCTTCCTCTTCCTCCTCCTCCTCCTCCTCTCCCCACTCTATCTCACCTCCATCCTCATCCCCGACCCCGACACCCACACCCCTCAACCATCACATGCCATACCGCCCATCCTCCAAACAACAGCAATCTCAAGTCAACCAGCCCGACCCAGCCCCCTCTGCTGACCCTGCCTCGCCAATCATCAGCCGCCAGCCGTCGCCCGCTCGCCATATCAGTCTACCTTCATCACCACCGGCGTACGTCATATACATGTTGTAGAGGTTCAGGCGATCAATGAGGGCGCTCACGCGAGACAAAACGAACGACAGTAACGTCATGTTGAAGGCGTGAGTCAGGGCGATCCTGTCCGTTGTAGTGCCCTTGCCGCCATGACGCTTGAGTCGAAGGTCAAACTGCCTGAACCGGCCCTTGCCATATGAAACAAGAGGCAGTGGGTTGCCAAAGATAGGCTTGGGGTGGTAGGCAGCGGTCGCCATGGGGGGTGCCTGGCACGGCCATGGATGCCGGGAACGGCACTGTAAGTGCTGTAGAACTCGTGTGTTGTTCAGGACGGAAGTTGAAGGTGAGCGTGACTTTGAACACCTCTGGTGACTCAACGTCGTGGCCCTCGTCCTTGTTCCCGGCCGGCATGGTCGCCTTGTCCGTGAGGGTTTGCTCGAGGCCCTTGTGTCGCTGGGGTTCACGCTCAGCAGTTACAGTCACATTGAACGCACGCATGCGCGTGGGCTGGCTTGTGGTAGAGGAGGAGGATGCGCTCATGGTTCTGTAGGTGTAGTAGGTATGGTGAGTGTGGCGAGTGGAAGGTGGCGGTGGCCGTCAACTTGGTCGTGTTTGTCAGCGCGAGAAAGGTGTTGCGGGGCTTGGCGCCACTCGATGAGCCCACAGACTGTGGCGTCCAAATCACCCACCATCGCGCTAGCAGCGTTGCCGACGAGAACCTGGCGGGCGACCGAGGTGAGGAAGACCGCACCCGCAGCGCCACTTGCTTCCGCCGCCCCCTGTGCCTGTGCCCGTGCCCTGCAACAATCTGGCAACGGCGGCAGCACACCTGCTCGCCATTTTCCACGGCTTCGATGGCCCGTTTGTTCGCCATGCGAGACAGACTCGTCCAATGATTCAAGGCCGCACGGCACCTCGGCACCTCGGCCACTCACTCCTCTTGCCGTTCTTCTCTTCCCACCATGGCGCAATTCATCCCGTCTCTCCGGGACTCGCCAGTCACCGAACCGGACGCCGCCAAGCGGAACATCCTCGTCACCTCGGCCCTTCCCTACTGCAGTATGTCCCCTCCCTGCTGCCGTGTACCCCCCCCCCTTCCCACCCTCCTCATTTCACCCGACATCCTACCACTCACCCACACCCACCCTCCTCGTGCCCCCCTGCCCCCCGTGCCCCTTACCACACCTCCGCCACAGACAACGTGCCTCACCTCGGCAACATTGTTGGCTGCGTCCTCGGCGCCGACGTGTATGCTCGCTTTTGCCGTGCTCGCGGCTACAACACGCTCTACGTTTGCGGAACTGGTACGTTGTGATCCTCGTCTCCGGCCCCCCCTCCCCCTGCCTTCCTCCCCCCCTTTCCTTCCACAGCTCACCTGGTGCGATTAGACGAGTACGGCACTGCTACCGAGAACAAGGCCCGCGAAGAGGGTGTGAGTCCGAAGGAGATCTGTGACAAGTACCATGCCATTCACGCGCAGGTCTACGAGTGGTTCAACATCAAGTTTGATACGTTTGGCCGGACGTCGACGCCTAAGCAGACCGAGATCGCGCAGGACATCTTCAACAAGCTGCACTCTGCCGGCCTCACCCTCGAGCAAGAGGTGACACAGCTGTACTGCGAGGCGTGCGCCAAGTTTCTGGCTGACCGCTTTGTCGAGGGCACCTGCCCCAAGTGCGGGTACAACAACGCCCGCGGCGACCAGTGCGACGGCTGCTCGTCACTTCTCGACCCGACCGACCTTGTCGAGCCCAAGTGCAAGGTCTGCTCCAAGACGCCCAAGCCGCGCTCGTCGCAGCATGTCTTCCTCGACCTGCCCAAGATCGAGCCGGACCTCCGCGCTTGGCTCGAGTCGGAGCCGCAGAAAAACGGCTGGCCCGACAACGCGATCTCGACCTCGCTCGGCTTCCTCAACCGCGGCCTGCAGCCGCGGTGCATCACCCGCGACCTCTCGTGGGGCACTCCGGTTCCGCTTCCCGGCTACGAGAACAAGGTCTTCTATGTCTGGTTCGACGCACCCATCGGCTACATCTCCATCACTGGCAACTACCTGCCCGAGACCTGGGAAGCGTGGTGGAAGGCGCCCAAGTCCGACGATGCGCCCCAGGTCGAGCTCCGTCAGTTTATGGGCAAGGACAACGTGACCTTCCACGCCATCATTTTCCCGTCGACGCTCCTAGGCTGCGCCCAGGCTGGCGACAAGTACAACCTCGTCCATCATCTCGCCTCGGTCAACTACCTGCAGTACGAAGACTCCAAGTTCTCCAAGTCGCGCGGGACCGGCGTCTTTGGCGACAACGTGCAGACCACAGGCATCCCGCCCGCCGTCTGGCGCTACTACCTCATGGCGCTCCGTCCCGAGCGCTCCGACTCGGCCTTTGTGTGGGACGAGTTTGTCGCCCGCAACAACAACGAGCTTGCCGCCAACCTCGGCAACTACGTCAACCGCGTCCTCAAGTTTGCCAAGGCCAAGTTTGACGGTGTCGTGCCGGCCTCGGGCCCGCCCACCGAGCTCGAGACCACCTTTGAGGCCGAGGTCAACGCCCGCCTCGCAGAGTACCTCGAGGCTATGGAGCAGTCGCAGCTCCGCGCCGGCCTCGCCGCCGCTATGGCGCTCTCCTCGCTCGGCAACAAGTACCTGCACGACGGCGCCCCGTGGGCTGTCATCAAGACCGACCCGGCCCGCGCCGGCGCCATCATTGCCAACGCCGCCAACTACATCTACTTCCTCGCCGCTGTCTTTGCGCCCTTCCTCCCCTCCATCTCCTCGCGCATGCTCCACCAGCTTGGCCTCGTCGACAACCCCACCCCGGACCTCGCCGACGAGCTGCACCCGGTCATTCCGGACGCCTATGCCCTCGCCGACGCCGTCCTCCCGGCTGGCCACGTCTTTGGCGTCCCCGAAGTTCTCTTTGCCAACATTCCTGAGGACCGCATCGCCGAGCTCCGTGCCCAGTTCTCCGGCAAGCAGGCCGACGACGCCGCGCCGTCCGGCGACGCTGCCGGCGCATCGGCATCCGCCGCCGCCGGTGGCGTCGCTGTCGACGCCGCCCGCCTCGCAGACGCCATCGCCACCCAGGGCGGTGTCGTTCGCTCGCTCAAGGAGGCCTCCGATGGCTCCGATGAAGCCAAGGCCAAGGTCTCGGCCGCCGTCAAGGTCCTTCTCTACCTTAAGAACCTCCATGCCCAGGTCACCGGCGACGACGGCAAGTCCAAGAAAAAGGGCAAAGGCAAGGGCGATAAGAAGGCCGGCAAGGCCGGCAAGAAGAAGGGCGGCAAGGTCTCCCGCGCCCCGCAGGACCCCAACGCTTGCCCGCTCGACCTCGCCATCGGCACCGTTGTCTCGTGCGTCCCGCATCCCGACTCGGACAAGCTCCTCGTCATGAAGGTCGACATCGGCGAGGCCGACGGCCCGCGCGACATCTGCGCCGGCCTGGCCAAGTCATACGCACCCGACCAGCTGATCGGCCGCTCGTTTGTCGTCCTCGCCAACATCAAGGCCGCCAAGCTCGGCGGCTTCCCTTCGGACGGCATGATGCTCGCTGCTGCTGCCGCCGACCCGGACGCCCCTGCCGACGCACCCTCCGAGATCGTCGCCCTCCTTGTGGCCGACGGCGACGCTGCCCCCGGCTCCCGCGTTCTTGGTGCCGGCCAGGTCCCGCGCGTCCTCGAAGGCTACGCCAAGCTCCGCAAGAAGGCTGTCTCCAAGGTCAAGATGGCCACCGCTGCCGACGGCGGCGTCCTCATCGACGGCCTCGCCCTCGCCACCATCGACGGCGTCCGCATCGTTCCCGACCCCACCGTCAACGGCATCGGTCCTGACGTCCCGGTCTGCTAAACTCGCAAGCTGTGTGCTCCCCCTCCCCCCCCCCCCCCGTCCCGCTGTTCTGGCAACTGTCACCGCCACCCCACCCACCCCACCCCACCACACCCCCATGCTGCGAAACTCGGACAGAGAGCTCCTACTCTCAGTCCTCGACACAGTAACCCGGACCCAGCAGCATGTCCAAGTCATGTCGCCACACCGCCTCCGCAACCTCGAGCTCATCCGTCTCGACGCTATCGACAAACTCGCGTCGTCGGCGGCCAGCGCGGGCTCATCGCCAACGCTACGCCGCTCGCTCCGCACCGCCGACTCACCGCCGCTCCATGCTCGCGCATGGCATGATATACCCTCGGCTCGTCCCACAACCTCGCCGCTTGTCGCTCCCGGCCTAGCTCGCTCTCGCCCGTCGAGAGCCTCAGTAGCAGACCAGCTCGCCGAGACTGAGGCGCTGCTGGCGCGGACTCGCCGCTGGTTCGGCGACGCACACCAAAGGCCCGCGGTGCAGAGCCCTGTGCCTTTGCATGCTGCTGCTACCCTCTCGCCGCGCCCGCCGGCGTCCGCCGGTCGCACCTCGGCCGATCGCACGCCCGCTGATCGCGTCCGCGAGCTCGAGCTCGAGCTGGAACTGATCCGGACTCGTCGTGAGAGCGAGGGCGCTGCTGCTGCCGCCGCTGCCACCGGTGACACACAAGCCAAGCTTGACCGCATTGAGTCGGTAGTCTTACATCTCGACCGCTCGCTCTCAGTTGCGCAGCAGACAACCCGCAATCAGCTCGAGGCCGAGCGCAATCTGGTCGAGTCCCGCATGCGGGTCCTCGAGTCCAAGCTCGATCTTGCTGCGGTGCCGCCGCGAACAGACGCGCTCCACTCTGCCGCCGCCGCTGCAGAGTCTGGCTATCAGGCCAGCCAGCCGTCCGACTCGCTCGCCGCGCTCGCCGCGCTCGCCGCCGACCTGCAGCAGACTCGCGCCGGCATGGCGGCATCGACCGCTACTGCTGCAGCATCACCACAAGTTCCCCAGCGCCATGCAGCCGACTCGACGACAACGTCCCCGCGCCGCTTGGCCTCGCCGCATCGCCCGAGCTCGCCAAGCCCTGCGCTCCGCGCCGAGCTCGATGCCATGCGCGCCGAGCTCGCCGAGTCCAAGGCGCTCGCTGCCGCCGCCGCTGAGCGCGCCGCCGCCGCCGAGGCTGCCCAGCATGCTGCGCGTCACACCGCGGCTGCCGCCGAAGACCGCGTTCTCCGCCGACACTGGTCGCCACCGTCAACTGCGGCGCGGACCAGTCACGAGCTCGAGGCGCCACCTGTGCTCGCCGCCACCTCGCGCTCGCCGTCGACCTCGCCGTCCAAGCTCCGCTTCCCGCTGCGCCAGGTCGAGACGCCCAGCGAGCGCAAGCTGGCAGAGGCCCGCGCCGGCCGCGAGCGGCTGCAACTGAGCCACGCGCCGCTCCCGCGATCGCGCCGCAAGCCGGCGGGCTACGTTCCCAAGTCGACCTACATCACCCCGCCCGATGTCGCGCCGTTTCTGGCACCGTCGTCGGCGCGCGCCGCCGCCGCAGCAGCAGCAGCATCACCACCCGCAGGGCGCTCACGAACGGCCGGCGGCAACCGCGTCCGCAGCCGCCCGGCCCGCCCGCGTACAAGCTTCAAGACCCAGGTCGTCAATGGCATCGAAGTTGTGTACAGCGAGCGCGAGCACCCGCTGACGTGGTCGGTCTCCGAAGTGGCCCGGATGCAGGTCGAGGCCGCCGCCGGCGGCACCCTCCCCATCAAGGCCTCCCCGCTCCCGACACTCCGCCTCTCCCCGAACACCTCCCGTGGCGACCACGACTCGTTCGCCCTCGACGTCGTCGAGCTCGCCACCGACAACAACACCTCGCCGCCGCGGGCCAACTCGTCCGGCGCCACGAACGAATGACACTGTTGAAAAAAAGGTCGTAGATTCGCCAACCTCACCCGGCGAGGCCGCACACTGCACCCCACCGCACCCCACCGCAGACCACCGCATGGGCATCCAAGGCCTGTTGCCGCTGCTGGCAGAGGTGACCAAGCGGACACACGTGTCGTCGTTTGCGGGGCAGACGTTCGGGGTGGACATCTCGTGCTGGCTCCACGCCGGTGCGACGCGGTGTGCGACACAGCTTGCGCTCGGCCAGCCGACCCGCGGCTATGTGGACTTTGTTCTCGACCGCATCGCGTGTCTGCGGCACAACAAAGTAAGCCCGTATGTGGTGTTTGACGGCCAGTCGCTGCCGGCCAAGGCCGGGACCAACACCGCTCGGTCGGCCCGCCGCGCAGAGGCCAAGGCCCTCGGCGAGGCGCTCCTCCGCAAGGGCGACCACGCCGGCGCCAAGGACGCGTTCAAGCGTGCAGTCTCCATCACCTCGACCATGGTCCGCCACGTCCAACACGCGCTCAAGGCTGCTGGAATCCCGTTTGTCGTCGCGCCGTTTGAGGCCGACGCCCAGCTCGCGTGGCTCCAGATCTCGGGCGTCGTCGACGCTGTCCTCACCGAGGACTCGGACCTGCTGGTCTTTGGTGTCACGTCGATGGTGTGCAAGATGACCTACGCCGGCGACTGCTCGCACGTCGATCTCTCGCCCGGTGCGCTCGCCCGCGTCACCGCGCTCAAGCTCGCCACCTTTGACCACAAACTCTTCCGCGCCATGTGCATCCTCTCCGGCTGCGACTACCTGCCGTCGATCCGCGGCATCGGGCTCAAGACTGCCAACTCGCTCCTGGTCAAGTGGCGGAGCGTCGAAAAGATCCAGGTTGTCCTGCGCGCTGAGCGCGGGGCCTGTGCCATCCCGCCAGGCTACGCTGACGCCTACGCCGACGCCGAGTGGACCTTTCTGCACCAGCCGGTCTTTGACGTCAACGCCCGTGCCATGGTCCCGCTCACCCCTTCCCAGACGACGCGACGCCCGAGCTCATCGCTGCGCGTGCCACAGTCGCCGGCGCGCTCAGTGAGCCTGCCATCGCCGTCGCGCTCTGCACCGGCGAGCTCGATCCCAAGACGCTCCAGCCGTGGCCAGCTCCGCTGCCGCGTCTCCCATCGCGAGGGCCGCGCCGCTCCCACTCGCTCCCGTCGCATGAGGCGTTTGCCTCGGCCGAGGGCTGGCGTGACAAGACGCAGCCAACCATCTTCCAAGCTGTCCAGCGCATGCGGCCGGCGCAGGCCAAGGCCGGCGCCGAGCTGCCGCCGGTCCAGCGAACTATCTTCTCGTCGGCGGCCAAGCGCCGCGCGCCGCGCGAGGAGCCGCTTCCCAATCCGCGCCCCACCAAGGCCGCCAAGCCGCTGCAGCCATCGTCCGAGCCGGTCACTCCGCCGCGCAAATCGTTGCAGAGCCTCGCAGACTCGCGCGGGCTCCTCACAAACTCGGCCATCCATCCCGGACACGTCGCAGTCGCACCAACCTCGCCGACCTCGCCGCGCCTCCTCGGCGCCGTCGCCTCGCGCTTTGAGTTTGGCGACGACTGCGCAAATCAGCCGTGGCCTGGCAAGGCTGCGGCCAAGAGCAAGGGCAAGGACAAGACCAAGACCAAGACCAAGAAAAAGAAGAAGAAGAGCAAGCGACGGAGCGACAAGGCCGCTCACCCGGGGCACGCCATCACCATCCCAGACTCACCGCTGGTCAACTCTGCGCGAGTGGCATCGTACGTCGCGGCCGCCAAGACCGCGCCAACAACCTCGATCTCGCTTCTCTCGCTCGATGCATTTGCCTTTGGTGTGTCCAGCCCCACGCCGACGCCCACCACACCCTCAGTCGAGGCCGCCGCCGCCGTCAGCCCGCGCACGCCCTCGGCCGCCATCGGCGTCTGCCGCCTCCGCCGCCGCCAGCTCTCGGCCGTCCTCTCCCGCACCGTCTCTGCGCCGCCGGCCATGCGCCGACAGCACCTGCCGTCGCCGATCGCGCCCTCCTCTGCCCATACCGCCCCCAACCCCGCCCCCGCCCCCGCGCCTGCGCCCGCTCACACCCGAGACGACGTCGATGCGCTCGTCTCGGCCGCCGCCTCGGCCGCCACCCCCGCCAGCCACCAACCGTCGCTCCTCGACAGCCTGCGCTTCAACGCTAGTGGAGGCATCAGCCCGCGAACCTCATCGCTGGTAGGCATCGAGTAGCAAACACCACAACCGCCATCATGTGCTGCAGACGCCACCACCACCGCCACCGCCTCCAGCACAACCACCCTCTTTCCAACAACCACACCTCTGCAGGCCACACTCCACTCCCAACCACTGCCATGCTCAACCTTGCCCGAGTGTGCACTGCTAGCGCCGCCCGCCAGACCCCGCTCATTCGCAGTACGCTCCCTCTCCCCTCTCCCCTCCCCCTCCCCCTTCCCCGCCCCTCCCCCTCCCCTTCTCCTGGCGACCCATGATGACGTGCCGACGACGTAGGCACCCCCCCCCCCCCCCCGTGCACTGCACAGGAGACAGACGAGGCCATGGGACTCATACGAGGTAGCATTCTGGCGATGTGGGATACGGGCACAGGCTATGCGGTCAAGGTGATGGAGGAGGTTGATGCGTACAAGGCTGTGGTCGGTGCTGATGACAAGGTGGTCGTCGTCGACTTTGCCGCGTCGTGGTGCGGGCCGTGCAAGCGGATCGCGCCGGTCTACGAGGCCCTCTCTGACGAGCACACCGACATCGAGTTCCTTCAGGTTGACGTCGACACCCTCCCCGAGGTTGCCGGCTCCGAGGGCGTCGAGTCGGTCCCCACCTTTGTCTTCTACAAGCACGGCACCCGCCTCGGCCAGGTCGCCGGCGCCGACAAGGACACCCTCACCCAGGCCATCACCAAGCTCAAGGACTTTGACATGTCGCAGATCGAGCAATGAACCCTCTGCACTCGCACAGTCAACGACATCACCCTGCCTCATCAGCCCGACCAGCCTAGCAATCGCGTTCCGTCCAGCAGCTGTGAATGGCACGCCGACAGACCTCCCCCTCCCCAACACACCCCTCTCCCCCTCCCCTACCACACACACACACGCACACATACACACACATTACCACCCCCGCTACCCTCATCTCCTTCCTTGTGGCCATGTACTGCGCTCCGATCGATGCCCACACACCCCTCGCTCCGCCTCGTCCACACGTCGGCCGGCAGAAAAGGTCGCACTTTGCCGACGCACCTTCCTTGCCCAGCTCCTGCGGCGGCGGCTGACCGGGCGCCCTGGACAGCCCCGGGGCTGCCACCGCGCGCGCATTGCGTGCATCACTGGTAGAGTTGCTCTTCCACGCCACCATCGTGCTTACGGCCTTGTCCCACACCACGGTGAGGTCCTGGTCTCGGTCGCTGCGGTCGCCACGTCGGCCGCCATGTCGGCGGACGGCTCCGGCGACGGCACTGACGACGACGACGATGCCGACGCCGCCGCCGGCCGCCGCTGTGGCTCGGCGATGTACCTTGCGATGTGGGCAACGGCCGGCGCGCCGCGAGCGCTCCCACTGCTCCACGTCCCACTCTTTGACGGCCTGCTCCTCTCGCCGGAGCCGGTGTACCTCGACGCACCGGGCGTCGAGCTGGCGGTGGCGGTCGACGGAAGCGTGCTAGTTGCGCGTGCACCGTGTCGCGGCGCCACCGCCCTGACGGTTGTTGTCTTTGGCCTTGGCAGCGTGCTGGGCTCGGAGCTGCCAGCGCGCGGTGCGCTCGATCTGGCGGCAGCGGTAGCGGTGGTGAGCCACGTGGCGCCGCGCCACGTCGAGATCGTCGTCTCGCCTACGGCGCGGATCGTGGCCTTTGTCGCCGACGACGCCGTGAGCGTGGCGACGTGGCCGACAGCGCGCGGCGGCGTCCTCGTTGACACAGCATGGTCGCTCACCACTGTGATGGCGCGGGTAGCGGCGAATGTGCCGGATCTGCAGACGCGCACAATGGCGCGCAGCGCCTGGCGAGTTCTCGGCTTTGACCCCGAGGCCGGCACAATGTTCCTCGCGCTCGCGCTCGACGCCATTGGGAGCGTTGGCGCCCGGCCGCGGCGTGTGGTGTACGTGGCGCTGCTCGCGGTCTCGGCAACGGCTCTCGCACCGCTGCAGCTGGTCCGCCACACACGCCCGGTCTCAGCCGACACGGCAGGGCTCGACCACGTGCTCGACCTCGTGCCCCGGTACCTGAAGGCCATCGGGGCGGTGCCGGCCGAGCTCGAGCGTGCCTGTCCGGAGATGCGGGTGTGGCCGGCAAGCGCGCGGATTCCACACGCACCGCGAGTGGTCGTCGCCCATCCGGTCTACCCATCCGTTGGCATTAGCGTGAGTACCGCGGTCTAGAGCCAGACGTCGCGCTTGTAGCGACCGTCGGCGGCAAGCGCTGCAAGAGCCTCGGCGCCGAGAATGTCGTCGAGCGCAGCCTGGACGCCTGCAGCCATGGTCCGTGCGTCGCCGCACACGTAAATAACGCCGCCGTCGGCAACCAGGGCGCGGACGCTGTCAGCAGCAGCGCGGAGCTTGTCCTGGACATACGCGCGGTCTTGCTCGTCGACCCGCGAGTAGGCCATGGTGAGCTGGCCGAGCGCGCCGCGCTCTAGAAGGGCGGCGAGCTCCTCGCGATAGAGCTCCTCCGGTCCAGGCCGGCGAACGCCGTACACGAGCCACCACGCAGCGGCAGTGCCGTCGACACCAGCGGCCTCGCGTGCACGGAGAAACGACATGAACGGCGCAATGCCGGTGCCAGCGGCAATGAGCAGGACCGGGTGCGTCGCCGACGCCGGCGGTGGGCGGAACGCTGGCGAAGGGCGCGGGAAGACCACCAGCGGATCGCCGGCGCTCGACCCGGCCATGTGCTTGGTGGCGAGGCCGACAACCGTGAAGCAGAGCTCCACACTCGTGTCGTCGGCGGTGGTGGCCGAGTAGTACCGTGGCGCGAGCGGATGCATGTGCTCTAGGAGCGGCGCAACGCCGCCGCGCGGCGTCCCGATCGACGGGTACTGTTCGAGCACACCGCTAATGCCAAGCCCGGCCTTGACCAGCTCGCGATAGTCGGCCGCGCCATCGCGCGAGGTCAGCCGCAGCAGTGCAGCAGCGTCGGCTGGGTCGCTAGCCGCCTCAGCCAGAACCCGCAACAGCTTCTTGGTCGGTGGCGCCGAGAGCGCAACAGACGCCGCAAGCACGTCGGCGAGTCGGGCGCCGTCCTCGCCGCCAAACGGCGCAAGATGGTCCGGCAGCGCCGAGCCGTCGACCGTCTCAATGCGAACAATCGTCTCGGCCTCGGCAGTCAGCCCCAGCCGCTCCAGGACGGCGGCGACGTTGGCGCTCGGGTTCGGGACCGCGACGCCAAACGCGTCGCCGGGCTCATAGCCCGGCTGCTCGTCCGGCAGAACCAGCCGCGCCACGCACACCTGCTTCTCGGCCTCGTCATGGGTCACCTGCGCTACGTCAGCAATCTCCGCCACCATCGGCTGCTTGCCCTGCGCCTCGCGGTGGCGGTGCAGCGCGTCAACAACTGACAGCACCCGCGGCGTCGCAGACGCCGAGCCCGACGCCTGCGTCTCGGGCGTCGCCTCGTCCGAGACCTCAAACGTCTCGCACGGCATGGTCACCAAATTCAGCCGCGGCACAGGCAGCTCCATCGGCGTCGACGAATCCTTCTTGCCCTTGCCCTTGCCCTTGCCCTTGCCCTTGCCCTTGCCCTTGCCCTTGCCCTTGTCCTTGCCCTTGCCCTTGTCCTCGGCCACAGAGGCACCCGCATCACCAGCACCTGCATCCGCGGCACTCGCCGCCTGATCAAGATCGGCAAGCAAATCCCACAGCGCAGCCTTCCAAGGCTCGACAACAGCCTCGAGGCCGGTGGCATCGTCGGCGGTGGCGACCGGAGCAAGGCGGGCGCCGCCGATGGCGGCAAGGCGCTTGTCGAGGCCGATGCCAAACTTGCAAAAGTGATTGTGGTCGGTCGAGCCAAGCGCAAGCACCGCATACCGCTTGCCAGCCAGATGCTGCTCGTCGGTCACCTTGCGCCGCAGATGCCGCCAGAACCGATACGCAGCGTCCGGCGGCTCGCCCTCGCCGTGGGTGGCGGCGACGGCGATGAGGACCTCGTTCTCCACTGCGCCATCCCACCCACTCCGCGCAAAGTCCGCCATCGACACCACCCGCGCCCCGTGACCCTTCTCCTCTGCAATCTCTGCCACATGATTCGCCACCGATGTCGCTACACGCCCGGTACACACACCCGTTCCTCGCTTCCACGTGAGTCACTGCCAAACGGATCGCATCCATCGAAGCTGGGGCCTGGTACATGGCCCCTCTTCCTCCTCCCGACAGAGCCCACGCCAGTACAGTCGCTCGCAGGCATGTGCAAATGCTCGCTCTATGTCGTACCTGTCCCGGTCTGCGAGCCAAACATAATGAGAAGCTTCATGGTGCCGCGTGTGGTGCGATGAGTGTCGGTGACGGGAGCACGTGGTTGCGCGGGACATACGTGGCAGGATGTGTCGTCATGATGTTTGATGGTTGGATGTGGAAAAGGGGGGGGGGGGGGGGGGTGAGTGGACAAACAACAACATGTGGTCGGATTGGCCTTCCTGCAGTAGCCAGCCAAGCCACAGCGTCGTGCCCAGCGATTAGCCCCTTGGATTTGAGATCCGTAGCCGGTGAAACCTCAATCAGTAGTCCATGGAAAAGTGGCAGCCGCCATCGTAGACGGGCGACGGCAGATCGTCCATGGCGGTCGGAGGGGGGAATGCGGCATACGAGAGCGGCGTGAGAGGAGTAAAGTCTGGAGAATGGGCCGCAGGCAGAGCCGACGGCGCGGCAGCAGCCACCTGGCGTGCGCCATTCCCTGAGCCTGTGCCCATCCCTTGGCTTGCTCCGTTCGAGTCAAAGGTAAGGCGGGCGATGGGCTCAATGCGGGTGATGGCGTAGGGTGCCGAGAGCAAGTCTGGGGTGGCTGACGCGTTTTGCGCCGGTTCCTCATCCATGGGAAAAGCCATGTCCCGCGCGACTGGGGCGTCGAGACCGACTGGCGTGATGAGCGAGCCGAGGCCCAGGCCCTCGTCCGACGTCCCGGCCGAGCGCGCGAAGAGCGCAGGGCCGGGCATGTGGGCTGCGGTGCATGACACATCGCCAAAGCCGCCGCCGAGCGAGCCAAGGCCGCCGAGGTGACTTCCAAACGACGCCATAGGCGACGGCCCCAGCGAGTCGAGCGGATCAAAGTCGTACCTGTTAGAGAGCAAGTGCATGGCGTCGAGGTCGAGGCTCGGGCCATTGCAGCCAACAGAGAGCGCATCGTCTGTTGTCTTGCTCAGCTCGACGTCCATAGCAGACGCCGAGCAAGAGTAGGGTTTGGACGACAGCGGGCAACTGGTGCCATCGTCCAAGGTTGCGCGAGGCGAGCGCAGCAGTGGCTCGCTCGCCGTCGCTGCGCGGCCGTGGAGGGCCAGCGCCTCGAGCGGCGCAAACGGAGCGAGGAAGACCGAGGTCGGGAGCAGCGGCGGCTGACCATGCGGGAGGAGGCCTGTCGAAGCAACCGAGGTGCGGAGGGCAGCAAACTCGGTCATGCCCGCCGGGAGGACGGCGGCGACGTGGAGGATGACCAGCGAGTCGTCGGTCCCGAGCCGGTAGCGGCGGAGCTTGAACGCCCCGTCCGCCCGCGATCGGTACTGTACGCGGACGTCAAGCTCCTTGATGGCCCGCAGCTGTCGCCATCCCCGCGGCGACTTCCACGGAACAGAGTCAGGGAACGGCTTGCGGCCATGGAACCGGCGGCATTCCACGTCACGGACAACCACAGGGCGACCAGCAAACTCCTCCGGAAAGGCAGGCGCAGAGTCGAGCTCCACCAGCCCGCTCATCCCTTCCACCGCAAACCGCAGCAGCCGCACATACTCTTCGTTCTCCAGCCACTCCATGTCAGCACTCGGACACGGGGGCGGAGGCGGAGGCGAGGTGGGAGGGGTAGGGGGAGGGCGAGGGGGGGGGGAGGTGTCGCAACCAAGTGGAACGTGGCCTCCAATGGAACCTTTTTTTGCGATTGGGTCGGGTGTGCGACAAGTGTGTCGCAATGTGACGCATTGATCGACCGTTCGTTTGTTGGGTGAGTTCGTTTTTTTTCTCGTACTTCGTGCCGGATACCGTGTACCCATCAAGACGCGATGGCGCTTCCATGGGACAGTTTGGTGCGTTGGAACAAACAGATCAAAAGAGGTGGGGAAACGGGGGTGAGGTAGTCTACAACTCGTCGTCATGTCGCTTTGGTCTGGTACAACAACAGCGGCCGAACGCTGGCTAGAGGCTGCCCATGCGGCCTCCTCAGAGCTCTCATCGGTCTTGGATGACGTTGTCAACTCCGCTCGATCATCTTATGTCCATCATAATCATTCCGCAAGCCCTCCAGTGCTCTTCACGGCCGCTTTCTCCACTTCTCACGCGTACCACGTTGCCGCCATATCGTCGTCCACTGCCCACGACGTGATTACACCAAACGCACGCCGTGATCAATGAATCTGGCACTCGGCCTCCTGCCCATGCTGATCTCCTCTCCTCTGCCTTTCTCACCGCGATCCATATCCTTTCAACCCCCCCCCCCCCACACCCTACACACCCTCTACCTCCTCCATGTTCATTCTCTTACTTCTTTCCTCTTTTCTCCTTCCCGATCGCTCCTCAGCCGCCGCTTCCCCCCCCTTCGCCCCAGCCCTATTCCCATCCCCGGTCCTCAACCCACCTCCCCTACCCTTTCCAACCGCCGATCGTCTAAACGTCACCTCATACAGCAGCATACGCTCCATCTCCTCACCTCCCCCCTCCATCCCGACGCCTCTGTCCCCCATCCCTGGTTCCTCTCTATCGAATGCCTCCATCCCGCAGCCATCCACAGACTTCCATCACCCCCCTCCCCTCCCGCCTCCCCTCGCCTCCCCTGGATCCCTGCTACAACAGTAACCAGCCAGAGCCATGCAACAACTCTTGGAGAGACCGGACCCAAGTGGAGCTGACCTGATGGAGAGCTCCTCCACTCTCTCACGGACATGGTACACCGGGTAGTCGACAACGCGCTCGGCGAGTGCTCGACGAACAAAAGACACTCCTCGACCTGCAATCCGATGCATGGTACATAGGCATACTCTTGACCTGCCGTTTTCATCAGCAGCCTCCATAGCTCAGTTCGGTAGAGCGACAGACTCTTAATCTGTCGGCCGTGGGTTCGAGCCCCACTGGGGGCTAGCTACATTTTTGCCTCGGCGCACACCCTCCTCCACCACCAAAAGCCAAACCAACCAACCAACCAACCAACCAACCAACCACACACACACGCTCTTTCTTGGCTTTACGATGCATCAACCTCAACATCTAGCTTGCGCAGCGCAGCGGCGGCGGCATCACTCACCCCATAGTCAGGGTCGTCGGCGAGGGCGGTGAGCGCTGGGACGAGAACCTTGGCGTGCGACGACGAGGCCTTGGCGAGCTTGGTACCGGCGTGGGAGACCAGAATACGAACATTGGGCACCGAGTCACTAGCCAGCGTGACGACGGCCTTGAGAAAGTGCTTGGTGACGACGTCGGCCGGCAGCGCGCTGGCGACCGAGCCGACGGCGTGAAGGAACATCTGTCGGCGCTGGAACGAGTCGGCGGCGGCGAGCTCGAGGAGGGCGGCGATAAAGTTGTCGGCGGCGGCGGCCGAGGCAGCGTCGGGCGCCGCCGCAGAGTCGACGCCGAGCAGGAGGGCGAGGACCGGGCCGACATGGCCCACGGCGACGTGGCGGACGTGCGAGACCGAGTCCTGGCTCAGTCGCAAGACGAGCGGGACAACATGCTCGGCAACGATGCTCGCGTCAAAGAGCTTGGCCAGGCCGGTCAGCTGCGCCGCAATGGCCTCGCGGTACCGCCAGTTGTCCGAGTTGTCCAGAATCGCGAGGTAGACCGGCAGGTAGTCGGCACGCCGCTGCGGCGAGAGCACGGCCTGAAAGGCGGCAATCGAGGCGAGGACGCCGACTCGGACCTCGTCCAGATCCTTGAGAAAAGCGTCAAAAACCGGGAGCAAGTCGGCCTCTGTCGCCTCGGCCCCCACAATCGCGGCGACGGCGTGGAGCGAGTATGCCAGCGTCCGCCGGACCTTCCACTGCATGTCCTTGGCAAGGCCGAGGTACAGCGGGCGGAGCGCCGGCCACCCTCGCGGCCGACCGTCAGCATCACCGCCGGAAAGTTGAACGCGCAGTGCGTCGTGATCTCCGCGTCGATGCTCTTGATGTATGCAGGCTTGGCCATGTCGTTGTAGTACTCTAGGAGCTTGCCCGGCAGGCTCGCTCCCGAGAACCGCGCAATGAACGGGCCGAGCGCCTCAAACGCCGCAGACCGCACCCACCGCGAGACGTCGTTGACAAACGACTCAAAGTGCGCCACAAGTACACTGCTTCGAACCTCGTCGTCAACCACCGTCGCAAGCGCAACCAGCGACTCGGCACATGCCTTGCGCACGCCCCAGATCGAGTCCTTGGCAAGCGACTCGTACAGGTGCAGCAGCGAGCTCACAATGTCTGCCACCATCCCCGGCGGGCTCGCTCCGCGCCGCGACTCCGCCACGCTCGCGGGCGCATCGCCGGTCCCGACGCCCTCGCTCCTGCTCGGCCCACTCCCGCTGCCGTCTGCCGCGTCGCTGTCGTCAAGCGGGTCGAGAACAGCCGACGACGCCTCTGCCGGCAGCAGGCTCGTCTCCACTACCGGCGCAGGCAGCGCAATGTCGGCGCAGATGTGCGTAATGTTGAGCGCCACAGCCTTGCGCACACGGAACATCGGGTCCGACGCAAGCCGCGTCAGCTCGGGCACAATGCTCGAGTGCACCGTCGCAAGCGGCACGTTTGGCGCAAGCGCGTCCAGCAGTCCGCACACGTCCACCCGCACAGACTCGGGCTGGTCGTCAGACGTCAGACCCAGCGCCATCGGCACAACAACCTCGTCAACAACCCGCGCAAGCCCGGCCCCGGCAAGCACCCGCGCGAGCCGCCCCGCCGCCCCGATGCCCGTGCTCCGCACCTCGGCGTCGTCGTCGGACACCACGCTTTCGTACATCGGCAGCACAACATCCATCAGCGCCTTGTACGCCCCGTCGCTCACCTGCCCGTCGCCTCCGCGGATCCGCACCACAGCCGTGACCAGCTCGGGCAGCGCCGCAGCCAGCGCCACCCGCACCACCCGCTCCTCATCGTCAGCTAGCTGCGCCAGCAGAGGCAGCACAGTATCCAGCAGCTCGTCGCCAGTCACAGGCGCCAGAAGCTCGTCCAGCGCCTTTAGCACAAACATCCGATGCAGAACCATCGTAGCACTCGCATACCGCGTCACCTTTTCCACCGCAGGAAGAGTGTCGTCAATGACCAGCACGTCCATGTTCGGAGCCTCGCCGTATGCTTCCCCGCCTTCCCCGTCGAGGATACCGAACCCCATACCAAACCCTGCACACCACAACACACAGTACCACACACACACACACACACACAGCACCATGAGCCACACTCCTTCTCCTCCTCATCCCCCCTCTTCCCCTGTACCCTCCTCCACCCACCCGTCCTCTCCGCGCTCCCCTCCCGCCGTCCTTCTCGCCGAAAAATAGGATTCACCCCTGCGCGCCTCGCCCTCCCTCCCCCTCCCCCCCCCCCCCCCCTCCCCTTCCCCCCCCCTCCCTCCCACCGAAGCTGCTACCTACCCGCCATGGTCCGGTGTTTGGTTGCGTCAAGTTGGTCTCCTTCTCCCGCGCTCGCCCTCACTCTCTCTCGGTTCATGACTCGCCAACCTGGCTCAGTTGCTGGCACTGGCATCTCTGCCGTTCACCTCCCGCACTCCGTCGCCCGCCAATGCCCCTCCGAACAAACTGCCACTGACAGCGACCAAGCTGCCATCCCGATGCCTATCAAGCTGCTGTTGAGCCCCACATCAGGCCCGCATCAACACCCCAACCCCAAACCCAGCCTAGGCCTACATCCATGCCTTGTCGAACTCTGTCTTGCCCTGTTCTCGACATCCTTCTCCTCCAACCCGACCTGCTGGCCTCTACTGTCCATGCTCCATGCGTGCGTGCGCCAACTAGAAAGCGCACGTGCGCCACCCCCCCCCCCCCCCCCCCCCCCACCCACCCCACCCCACCCCACCCCACCCCACCCCACCCCACCCCACCGTCTACCATGCTCAGCCGCACCCTCACCATAATCCTCGCCGTCACCCTCGTCATCCTGGCCCAGGCCTCGGCCTCGGCCCCGTCGTACGTGGGCAAGATCCTCGTCTCGTCCTCGGGCTCCTTTGCCCGCTTCCGGGTCCAGTACAACGCCGGCAACCCGAACCGCAACGTCATGTACATGGCCGGATCAACCATTGTGGCCGTCTCGCCCTCTTCACCGACCCAGTACTCGTCGTACTCGCTGCCGGCGGGGACGGACTCGCCCGTCGGCATCTTCCTCTACGGATCGGTGGGCGGATACGTGGCCATCACGCCGCAGCCAGGCAAGCTGGTTGTCCTCAACTGCGCGCAGCCGTCGAACCCGTACGGCGGGTCGTGCTCACTGACGCAGGCCGCGTCGATCACGCTCCCGGTCGCCGCGTCGACAGAGTGGGTCGACATCGGAATCGGCTTCACCTCGGGCCAAGGGCGCTACCTCTATCTCATCGCCGCCGACCGCACCGTCGCCGTCATTGCCGCTAACCAGAACTCAAGCCCCTCGGGCTGGTCGGTCGTCCGCACCTTTACGCTCTCCACGCCTTCCACTGCAGCCTACCCCAACGTGGTCGGGCTCGAAGGCGGCTCGAGCATGGGCGTTGTGTTTGTCTCGCTCGCGGCTGCTTCCTCGAACTCGACCGGCGCGCCGGGTGCCATTCTCACGCTCGATGCCGCCTCGTCGGCGGTCACCAGGTCGACGTTTGTACCCAACCCTGCATTCACCGTCACCTCGGGCGGCTCGGCCGACCTCATTGCTGTCGTCGGCGCACTCAACGCCTCGACTTCGATCGCCCACACCTTCTCCGACGTCTCCTTTCCGCATGGCTACCAGGTCTCGTGGCCGTCCAACGGGCCTATTGTTGGCGGTTGCAACATTGTCGGCGAGGTCACCTCGACCTCGATGCCGCTCTTTGTCGTCGCCGATACTGGCTCGGGCCTTGCCCTCCGCCGCGTCGCACCAACCGCAGGCTCAGTCTCGCCGGCCGTTGTCTCTTCCGATTCGGCTGTCTTTGGCGTCGACTGCATGGCCGCCGAGAACTTTCTCTCGGGTGGCGAGGACATCTGGCTCCCCGCCCGCGAGAGCAGCGCCAACGTCGTCCTCGTCTACTCATCGTCCGGCCTTGTCGCCGCATCAACCGCCAAGCGCGCCGCCGCCGCTGCTGCCGCCACCTCGGCCCGCATCGAGTCGCTCGCCCTCCACGGCTCAGACTCGGGTTGCGCAGACCCTGACATGGGTACCACCTGTTTGATGGCCTGCGCGCCGCTGCCAGCTGTCATCTGCTCTCCGATTAACGCCGGCCCGCCCAGCATCGACGGTCGTCCTGCCGCATGCTTCCTCCTCCCCTCCCATCCCGACTCGTGCAACTTCTGCCCACCGGCCTGGGCCCAATTCTGCCCGTAGACCACGCCGGTTAACTCGCTCCGCTCAATGGCCTCGCTCTGCATCGCTCATGATGGGCAGCCACTGCGGGCGCTCCTGCCGCCATTAGCCACTCCAACCACAGCGAATACCACGCCCATCTGTTTTTCCCATCCCCCTGTCCCAACCCCAACCCCGTGACCAGGGCCCCGCCGTGCATGCCTCGTGCTCACTGCTCGCCGCCACCCACACGTGCGCGTCAGGTGACACCGCCCCCCTCCCCCCCCCCAACACCCACCCCACCCCACCCCACCCAACCGTCTACCATGCTCAGCCGCACCCTCACCATCATTCTCGTCGTCACCCTCGTCATCCTGGCCCAGGCCTCGGCCTCGGCCCCGTCGTACGTGGGCAAGATCCTCGTCTCGTCCTCGGGCTCCTTTGCCCGCTTCCGGGTCCAGTACAACGCCGGCAACCCGAACCGCAACGTCATGTACATGGCCGGATCAACCATTGTGGCCGTCTCGCCCTCTTCACCGACCCAGTACTCGTCGTACTCGCTGCCGGCGGGGACGGACTCGCCCGTCGGCATCTTCCTCTACGGATCGGTGGGCGGATACGTGGCCATCACGCCGCAGCCAGACAAGCTGGTTGTCCTCAACTGCGCGCAGCCGTCGAACCCGTACGGCGGGTCGTGCTCACTGACGCAGGCCGCGTCGATCACGCTCCCGGTCGCCGCGTCGACAGAGTGGGTCGACATCGGAATCGGCTTCACCCGGGCCGGTGAGCGCTACCTCTATCTCGTCTCGTCCAACAGGACGATTGCAGTCGTCGACGCCCCACCCGGCGCTCCGGCCGCGCACTGGTCGGTCGTCCGCGTGGTGACCATCGCATCAGCCGTAACCGCCCACTATCCATATGTGGTCGGACTGGAAGGCGGCGATAACATGGACATGGTCTTTGTCTCGCTTGCGGCGGCAGACCCGAGGTCGGCCTCCGGTGGCGATCCCGGCGTCATCCTCACTCTCGACGCACGCACCTCGGCCGTCACCCATACCACTTTTGTCTCGCGCCCGGCGTTCACTTCCACCTCGGGCGGCTCCGCTGACCTCGTTGCTGTTGTCGGCGCACTCGACAACTCAACCGCCATTGCCCACGCCTTCTCCGACGTATCCTTCCCGCATGGCTACCAAACCACCTGGCCCAGTGCCGGCCCCATCGCCGCCGGCTGCACCGTCGACGGCGCCGTCACAGCCTTCTCCATGCCGTTGTACGTCGTGGCCAGCCTCGGTGGGTCGGGCCTCTCGCTTCGCCGCGTCGCGCCGGTCGCCGGCACCGTCTCGCCCTCGGCATCGTCCCCCGACACTGCCGCCTACGGCATCGGCTGCTACGCTGCCGTCGACTCGCTCTCAGGTGGCGAGAACACGTGGATCCCGGCCATCGCGAGCGGCACCAATGTCGTCCTTGTCTATGCTTCGCCGCCCAGCCTTGTGCCCACCAAGCGCACACCCGCCAAGCATGCGCTCGCCCGCGTGCGCTCGACCGCCGTCGGCAGCTCAGCCCCAGGCTGTGTCGATCCCGACATGGGCACGACCTGCCTCGAGGCCTGTGATCCACTGCCAGCCGTCATCTGCTCCCCCATCGACCCCGGCCCATCCACCGTCGACGGCCGCCCTGCCGCCTGCTTCCTCCTTCCGTCCCATCCCGACTCGTGCAACTTTTGCCCGCCGGCTTGGGCCCAGTACTGCCCCTAGCCCGGCCAAATCGCACGTGCACGCGTCGGGCAGCAGGCGCCCCCTCGCGCACCTGCCTGGCCTCGCACCCCGCTCTGCCCACGTCAGCCCGTCTCTCCACCATTGGCCGTTAACCACCCATACTCTTCTCCGCTCCCTCCCGCCATGGACACTTCTGCTGTGGTCCTACTTGCCCTTGCCGTCTTGGCCTGCGGCCTGGCACCTGCGGCAAGTCTCTCGGCGCCGGCGTTTGTGACGGCTGTTGGCCTCGGCGACAGCGGCTCATTTTTCCGCTTCAAGTCTGTGAGCGGAAAGGCCATGTTTGGCATGGATGACATGCTCGTGGCGGTGGAGGAGGGCAGCCAGGCCAAGATCCATACTTTTGACATGGGCTTGGCCCCTCAGATTGCCCACTTTATCGATGGCGTGGGCGGCGGACGGATTTTGGCTGTCGCTGCAGGCAACGAGGCCGTCGAGCTCGCCTGCGCATCGCCGACCTCGTCGTCGGGCGCAACATGCTCGATGGCGCCGATCGGCGGGCCGATTGCGCTGCCGACGCTTTCGTCGACGGTTTGGGTTGACTCGGCACTGACCCATCATCCGGTCAGCGGCGCCACGCTTGTCTACCTCGTTTCCGTCGACATGGCCATCGTCGAGCTCAACTGTGCCGGCGCGTGCTTTGTCGCAAACTCATACGACTTGCGCACGCTCATCAACATCACTGAAGTCTCGTCCGACTTTCCCTACTTTCACGCGGCAACTGCCGGCAAGGCGGCGAGCGGAAAGGCGCTGTTTGTCACCCTCCTCGCCGCGGCGCCCGCGGTCGGCGTCCGACCCATGGGCGCGATAGTCACCCTTGTCCTCCCGGACCTGACCAGCTCGGTGGCGGAGACGTTGCCAACACCGGCGGTGGTCTTTGCTTATGGCGCGAGCAGCGGCGATCTCGCCATTCCGTACTACATCTCGAGCAACGAGACACAGATCATGGCCTTTACGCCGCACACCATTGGATATCCCACTTGGAACACGGTCGGCGATCTGGCCGTCGGCTGCGCCGCCAACAGCTTCTCGTTGTCGAGCCAGCACTATGCGGTCATGGCCTCGTACGCCTCAAACATCGCGCACATTGGTGGCAGCATCGTTGGCGTCAACCTTGACACCAGCATGGTTACGGCTGCCGCCGCCAGCACTAGCACGCCGTCGGCCACTGCTGGCTGTATCCTCTCGCCACCGTCGGGAATCAGTGGCAAGCTCACCGCCTGGCTGCCGGCAACTACTCCCTCAGGCGCCCCTGTTGTCCTCGTCTACCAGCTGTGATCCGTGACCATCCCGGAGTTTACTCATGTGAAGCACGGCTCCGCCTCGCACTTACTGATGGAAGACAAAGACTGCCCCGCAGTTGTTGTTGGAGCCCGAGTTGCCCTTCATGTCACCAACGCACGCTCGCACTTACTGATGGAAGACAAAGACTGCCCCGCAGTTGTTGTTGGAGCCCGAGTTGCCCTTCATGTCACCAACGCACGCGACGAGCAGAAAGCCTACCCCCATCACCCCACCGTGCCAGCCCCCTATCTGTAAGTTGCTGCCGCTCACCCTACCTAGCGCCGGCACCACCCTCTCCCCATAAACTTACCAGCCGACTCGAGCTTATCAAACAGCAACGGCAGGACGACGTTCTTCGGCAACCGCCATCCATCCTCCCAATGATAGTTCTGGGTGGCCTTGGTCGGATCACGACTGTCGCCCTCCCCCCCCCCCCCCCCCCCACCCCACACACACGTGCGCGCGCGCATGGTTAGGGCCCGACCATCCACCGCCATCGCGAGTCAAGAGCCACATCCACAACCACAACGCGCCAACCAGCACCACCATCACCACCATCATCACCATCGCCACCTCCACAATGAGTCTCTTCTCTCTCATCGCCACCACCCCTCACAAGCACACCCCACGACGTCCGTGACAACGTACAGGAACGACTGAATGACAGAGACCGGGACCTGGCCCTTGACGCACCAAGCGGTACCGGCCCATTCGACAGTAGCGTAGACCCTGTTCTCCAAGCAGCAGCGCCACCACCACCACAAGTAGCGAGATCACCAGCACGATGGCCACCAGTACCAGCACCAGCACCAGCACCAGCACCAGCACCACCAGCAACAGCAACAGAACCAAATCAGCGACCCACATTCCCGTCAACCACAGCAACAGCAACATGCCCATGACAGCCATTCTCCACATGAGTACACCCACACCTACATGACAAATAACCCACCCACCATGTACCCACCATGTATATACCCCCCTCCCCCCTCCCCTTTCTTCCATTCCTCCCCTCCCCTCCCCAACCCCCCAACCCCTTCCTATCCCTTTTCTCTCGGTTGCCTGTCCGCAACGCATTCTGTCCACCCCTCCCCCCCCCCCCCCCCATACACCACCACAGAGAAGACATAGTGTGCATAGAGATGAGGAAGGAATACCAAGAGCGTGAATGAGACTGCTACGTACATGGTGTATGTGATAAAGGAGACGTGTGTGGGTGTGTGTGGGTGTGTGTGGGTATGTGTGGGTGTGTGTGGGTGTTCGTGTGGGTGGTGGTGGCTGCTTCACGGCAGCCTGGTCGGGTGAGCGAGCAAGGCAAGACCTCACGTAGCATACCACCTGGTTGGCAACATGGGCTCTACCGAGTTTATGGTGCAGATGGAAGAGCTTAGCATGGCAGCTGTTCGTATGCAAGAGCTCATGCGCAAGTCTCCTCATGCAGCGGTGGAAGCAGGTGTGCCTTCGTCATGCCTTCCTGCCCTTGACGCCACTCTGGCTTCGGTTCTTGCTGTCGCCGATTCGACCAAGCGCCTGGCAGCTTCTCAGGCATCGCTCTCTCCCGAGTCTCATCCTGATCCTGGCATGACTTCATCGCTACTGCCATCAACTGCTGCTCCTGCTCTGCTGCCTGCATCGACTCCTCCGCCTGTCGTGGGCGAGCCTTCCGTTCCGCCGTACTTGCCGCCGCCGGAGTCAGGCTCGGTTCCGTCGTCGGCCCCGCCAGCCTCGGCTCCTCCGCCGGCAGTGGTGGCTTCGGCACCACCGCCCGAGTTTGGCGATGGTGTGGACGAGGCCAAGGTTGCATCGGTCATGCGGTTTGCTCAGTGTTCGAGGGAGCTGGCTATCGAGGCTCTGCAGGTCATGCCCGCTGTGGAGCAGGCGACCATGCATGCCATCTCACTGCGATCGGCGCGCGCCGCAGCAGCGCCTCCTCCTGCCGGCCCGCCTCCTGCTCGCCCGCCTCCTGCTCGCCCGCCTCCGGGTGGCCGGCCAGCCGGCCCGCCTCCTGGTCCCCCGCCGACGGCTACCCCACCCCCACCGACGGCCTGGTCGTGCGCCTCGTGCACCTACGAAAACGACGTGTCCGCTCCTACTTGCGGCATGTGCACCGCTCCGCGGCCCTGATTTGAGGACATTTACCTCCTCTGCCTCCTCTTTTCGCCGCGATTAAACGGAGGAACGTACTTGGCCGGCGCGTTGGCTGGCTCGCTCGCCCACAGCGGCTGCTCGCCGCCTCCACCGATGTTGGCGTACGGCTGGAAGGCCGGAGGGTCAAACACAACCGGTTGCGGCGCAGGCCACGCTGCCGGAGCTGGCTGCAGCGACGGCTGCAGCAATGGCTGCAGAAGCGGCTCCATCGGCACGCCGCCGAGGCTCGTCGTAGGACCAGGCGGCGGCCTCATGCCAAATGCGACGCCGGTCCCAGCCCGCGCCCACGCCGGCAGCGCCGCGTCGTCAGCCACAGGCGCCACGCCAAACTGGCCATACGGCAAAGGCTCGGCCAGCACGCCACTAGCCGTGTTCGGCATCGCCAGTCCGGGAACAAATCCACCGGGAGCCATTCCTTGCAGCATGCCTGGCATCATCAGCCCCGGCATCGCGTCCGGGACGAGCGCTGCCGTCGGCAATGGGCCAGTTGGTCCCGTCACTGGGAGCGGCATCGGCGAGACAAGTGGCGGCAGAGTCGTGGCGGGTGCTGGTGCGGCGGACGGAACCTGCTCGGGTGTTGACACGAGAGCGGGAGCGGGAACGGCACGAGTAGGAGAGGGGGCAGGCGCGGGCTTGGTCTGCTGCACGGCTCGCTGCTTGACGTTGGGCGTGGTCTCGGGCCTGACCTTGTCTCTCGGCATCTTCTTGGCTTTGGACTGCTGGATTACCTTTGCATCGGGCTTGCGTTTGTGGATGGCATCAGTCGCCGACGGCGGCTGCACACCTCCAGTGGCGCGAGAACTTGCTGTCTTTTTCTTGCGGCCCTTCTTATCGATGGCAACCCAGCCATCATCCTCGGCCTCCTTCTCGACAGCCTTTTGTGCTGCAGCTTGTCTGTTCCAGAACTCAATCATTCGCTGCTGCTGCAAGTACTCTTCCCGCTGCCGCCATTCACCACCATCACCACCACCAGCCAGCCATCACCACCAACCGATCACCATCAACCAATATCATCACCAGCCGTTCAGCACCAACCATCCTCCACACCATCAGTTCCAGGCCCATCCCAACTATAACCCCCCCCCCCCCCCCCCCGCCGCGCGTACCGTCAGGCCCATATCATTCCCAGGCAAAGCGCACTCCTCCCCTCCACTACTGCTCTTCTCGTCCACCAGCAAGTTGTTCTTGTTCTTCTTCTTTCTCCGTCGTCCCATCTTGCCTACCGACAGATCCCCCAGCTTTGTGCTCTTCTGTCGTCCTTGTAGCGAGTGCGAGTCGAGTGGTGTGCCTGCGGGACAGGTCTGCCGCTTTCCCGCACCTCCTAATCAGTGTCCGGATCGACAACTCATCGTTTATCGACAGCTCGTGCTTCATTTCATATCGCTACCACCACCACTGCCACAGCTACTGCTGTCGTCGTCGGCGTCGTCGTAATCGTCGTCGCTAGAACTGTTGTCGTCGACGAGAGCAGAGAGGCCTTGCGACTGACCTCCCAGAGAGGGGACCGAGAACGAGAGGATCGACGGCATGCTCACATCGTTCGACGCGACCGGAAGGGCTGCCATCGAGGACTGACATTGGTGATCGGCATAGACGTACGAGAGACCAAATTCGTGCTGAGAACTGTCATCAGAATCGTCGTCGTCGACATGGGACGAGGTCGTCGTCGTCGTCGCCGTCGACCTCCCCTGCTGCGTTCCGCCGCGGACGAGCGAGCTGGTGAGCGAAGCGGTCGGCAGCGATGCCGATGCCGATGCCGATGCCGAGATTGAGTCCCAGTACTCAGGGTACGAGGCTTGTGCTGCTAGTGATGCTGCGAGTCCTTGCATCGCCCGCTCCTCATGCTCCTCGCTGTTGCCATCACTCGACCCAGCCTCGGTCAGCGTGGCGTTGGTCTTGCTGCGCTCGCCGTCGCCACCCGCCGCCGACGTGGGCCAGAGCGAAGCTACAGGAAGAGACACGCTCGATAGCGGGACAGAAGGCATCGAGGGCTGCGAGTGTCGCGGGTGCGAGCTCAACGTCATCGAGCCCGACACCATCGAGCCCGACGCGAAAAAGTCCGATCCCGACCACAACTCGAGCGATGTCGAGCACGACCGAGCTGCCTCGGCGGTTGGAGTTGTTGCCGACGATGTCGACGATGATGAGGACGACGACGACGATGAAGATGAAGATGATGAAGACGATGAAGACGATGAAGACGATGATGAGGCCATCGTCGAGGAGCCCAAGTCATGGCCTCGCCCGTGGTATGACCGCCGGGCGACGCGCCGCCGCCGCTTCTTCTTCTTCTTCGTCTCCTCGACCAAGCACCGTGACAGCAGCGTGTTCGACACAGATGACGAAAACATCGAGCTGGTAAACGAGGCTAATGAGACGCTGGGCTCGGTATCGGAGCCACTAGACTCCGAGCTGTTGTGGCACGCACGGCTCGCACCGAGGTTGTCCTCCAGCGGGAGACTCGCCACCGATGCTGAATACTTGGGCACAGGCCGATCTTCGGTCTCGATAGCCTCCACAACCAGCGATGCCCGTGACCACGAGTTGACCGACTCGGACGACTCAGATATCGAGGCGCTGAGAGAAGCGCCGAGCAAGGAGCGCGAGTGCGATTGGCCAATCGCCGTGCTCATGTGGTTTCGTGCGAGCATGCGAAACGGCAGGCTCGGCGAGGGCGCCGCACTTGCCGCGCCATACTCACCAGCTCGCAGCTGGAGAGAGTAGAGGCTTGATGCTGCACCAATCCCCGCAGACACCACCACCGCAAGCGATGACGATGACACCAGCCGCACCGGGGGGGGAGCATGACATGCTGGACTAATCCTCCCGTCCGCATCGCTCGGACCTCGACGCCCGTCGCCGAAACACCGAGCACATACCGCCCAAGCCCCACCACCGCCAGTGGCACACCCGTCCACCGGATGGCCACCCGCGGTTTGGCCAAGGCTCCGCTCGAGGTCGCCACAAGATGAGCATCCAGTCCGGCGGAGCACATGACGTGCGAGGCAGGACCGTCAAGATCCGCTCCCACGCTATGGGTTTTCATCAGCCGCGACCGCCCAGGAGGTAGCTCCAGCCGTCGCATTGCCTGCGTCGGCGGATCAAACAGCACCAAGCCCGACGAGAACTGGAGCACAAGCTGGCCCGACGTCAGAAATGAGAGTCCGGCCACAGGCAGATCGATACAGAGCGTCGCCGCGATCTTGAACGACGCCAGCGGCGGCGCCCAAGCAAAGACGTGGACAACTCGCCCCACTCCCACTGCCACCTTGGGCTCGCGGCCCTCGGCGCCATGCGACGCAAACGTGACCGCATTAGCCGTCTCCGGCAACCGCTTCAGCACCCACTCGCCCACAGAGTCCAGATAGAGATAGCCGACACCCAGCGATGCCATGCTAAACTGCACCAAGCACACATGCAGGGCCGGAAAGACTTCGAGCTTCGCCGCCGGCTCCTCGATAAGCGTCAGCGCCGACCCGGCTGCGTTGTCGGTCATGTACACCCCATCCCTGGTCGAAAACACCACAAACTCGCCGTAGAGACCCGCCGACCGGATCTGGGCCATGTCGGGCGTGGCCAAGACCTTCTTCACCTCGACCGACATGGCGGCCGTCGCCACCACCACGCCCAGCTCGCGCGACAGGGCCTCAACCACCGCTGCCGTGCCGCCATCGCCGGTCTCAAAGCCAGCCACCCCCGAGCTCACCGAGACGTACATCGACTCGAGTGCAGAGGTAAACCGCTCGGCGCGAAGCGTCGCGGCAAGCTTCGGACTCGCGCTCGCAGTCTGTCGTCCAGCCGCATGCTCCGAGTTGACGAGCGCAGTGCAGAGCGCGGCCATCGTTGCAGTCTCTCGTCTGATCACCGCCGGATGGCGCGACGGCTGGACCGCAGGTGCAACCACAACCTGACAGGCGTAGCCGACGTCTGTCGGCACGAGCACCGCTACTGATGATGGCGCTCCTGCCGCCCCAGCCTCCCACGGCAGCGTGTACGGCACCGCAGCGTTGTTGGTCACCAACACAATGACACACCCGCCGTCAACAGCTTCAGGCACCATCTCAAACGCATCGCTGCTCTCGATCAGCCCCCGCAGCGTCCCCAGAGCAGCCTCGTCGTCGCCGACATGCTTGATGGCAATCGTGTGCGTCCGCTTGTACATCTCGCGCTCCATGGCCAGCAGCGTCTCGACCACTTTGACGCCAACAACCTGCCTGAAATGTTCGCACTTACGCGCGAGCTTGCGCGAGTACGTTGCCAACACAAACCGCAGCAGCGCCGGCGGAGATGTCATGTCCTCCGGTACAAAGATCTCCAGCGGGCTCGCCCCGGTCGGCGACCATAGGATCGCCCGCATCCCGTACGCGATCCGGAGGAGCGAGACAGCATGCACCCCGCCGAGCTCAGGCAGGTTTGCCACAAAGTTGTAGTGCTGCGTCGCACCCACAAAGTACTCCTCATACCACGCCAAACTCGACGCAACCTCCTCGGCCGCCTCGGTCTCGGTTGCCTCGCTCATGATCCGCCCGGGAAGCCATCCGGGCGAGCCCCTCACCAGCCACGCGCACGCGTCTGGGTTCTTACCCATCGGCCGCGGCCTCATCGCCTCCGCCTTCTCTCTGCAACGTCTCGTCACAAAGCACGCCTCCCGCAGGATCGAGTGCCAAGCCGCGGCCTCACTCGTTATCCCGGCCACCACCTCCAGCTCGTTGACTCCGGTACTGCGGTTAATGAAAGAGATGCCGCCACGAACCGATTTCGTAGGTTGCGGCTTGACCCGCCGGAGATCAATGCGGGTAACTGTCGTGCCGCCCGTTTCCGCCTGATCCATGGAGTTCAAATATAGACTCTTGTTGCGCACATACGCATCACACCAAACACTTTGTTGGATGTGATGGAAGGAGGTGAGTTGTGCAGCAGTTGCATGTACGTACCCATCGTCCACAAAGTTTTGTTCCACCAACTACCGACTGGTCAAGACCAGTTGATGACCAAGTCCCTCTTCGGTCTTCCCGCACCCACCCACCCACCCACCTACCATGCCCTCATTCCAAGTCCAAGCCAACCCTCCTACATTGCTCCCTCCTGCCCTCCTCCCTTCCGCCACACCCACCCCTCTCCCGTATTGCCTCCCTCATGACTTACGCTCCGCCATCGCGTGGCACCATAAGGCGCCCCGTGGCACTCATGGCACACCTTCAAGTTGTGTGTTGCGGATGCGCTGAACAAAGCGTCAAAAAAAGTAGCTGAGCGAGTCGTCGAAAAAAAACGCCGCACCCTGCCCTAATTGGCTACACAGTGTTTGTGTCGCCGCCGATGCCTATGGAGTCCGAGCCCAAAGACCAAGATTCGTACTTCGAGCTCTCTCCCCTCTTCCCCTCCTCCTTCTCCCCGCCCGACAGCTGTCGATGCGACCTTGGCGCGCCAGTCAGCTGCCAATATGACACTAACGTGCCATTGCGGCGGTGTCAACGAGGTACACTCATCTCAACTAATCGTTGTCATCACAGCCGCATCTCATGCGGCCGCGCCGTGGATCCGGGTCAAGAGGACAGTCGCATCGCAGTCGCCTTGGCACGAGCTTGTCCCGACTATGGATGCTGTTGCTGCGGACGTCGACGCTGCGGAAGATGATGTATGTGCTGGCGGTGGCGGTTGCCATGGTCACGCTGTACTCGATCGCCACCAGTCCCATGGCGACTGGGCGCAACCGGCGCCAGGCACTGCTGCGGCAGGTCATGGTCAAGGCACGGGCGGCAGTGTTTGACGTCGCCCTCACCAAGGAGTGCGGCAAGGTAGACGAAAAGGTGGAGGAGCTGGTTGCTGGCCGCAGGCAAGAGCTGAAGAAGCTTGGTGGCAAGCACATGGTCGGTCTCTCCTTTGACGACTTTTGGCTGAGCGAGTGGCTCGACGACCTGCTGCCGGTCCTCGACTCGGCGGGCGCCAAAGCCACGTTCTTTGTCCCCACCTCTCGGATTGCGGCAGCGTCCAAGATCGAGCTGGACATGCTGGACGCGCTCGTCGAGGCCGGCCACGAGATTGGCCACCACTCGCACACCCACGGCAATGCGGCAGAGTTTGTCAACGGCCCTGCCTACGCCTCGCTCCTCCGCGAGTACTTGCTCGGCGAAGTCGCCGACGGCTGTGATGCCTTTGCCGATGCAAGCTACGACCTTCGCTCAACTTTGCCTATCCGTATGGCGCGACCCACGAGATTCTCGACGCCTCGCTCCTGCCGAGCTTTGGCCTGCTCCGGACCACCGACGGCCCGCTCCTCGACGACATGCCGTCGGCCACAGACATTGACGCCGCCATTCCACTGAGGGATGCGGCTGGCGCAGTTGGTGCACTTGGCCTCGACGAACCCGTCTCGGAAGTGGTAGTCAACACGCTCTTTGCTGACCTGGCCGCTCTCGACGAGCCGCACGTTCTCCTCTTCTACGGCCACCGCACCTCGCCGCAAGCCCGCCTCCATGTCGAGCTGAGCAAGCTCCACCGGATTATCGCCCACGGTCGTGCGCTCGGCCTCGAGTTTGTCACCTTTGCCGACATCTACCTTGCTCGCAGTCTCCGCACTCGCCCGACCGTCCAATAGCAAGTGCAGCGAGACGTCGCTGTTTACTCTACCGCCGGAGCTGGCGCTGTGGCTGTCGGCGCTGCGACCGTCGGTGCCGCCACCACCGGTGCTGCGGAGACCGGTGCTGCAGCCACAACATGTGTCTGTGGTGTTGGCTGCACCACGTCCATAGGCGCGGCCTCATTGGCGCTGGCGACAGCCTCGACCCCGGCGCCGGATGGGACAGTAGCGCCGGCGGCGACAGCCTCGGCCTTGGCCCTTGCAGCAGCGGCAGCGGCCTCGGCCGCCTTGGCCTTTGCAGCAGCGGCAACCTCGGCCGCCTTGGCTGCCTCGGCCTTGGCTTTGGCCTCGACTGCAGCCTGGTGGGCGGCTTGCCGGGTAGCTTCGATTGTCTGGCGGACAAACTCGCGATGCGAGCGGATTTTGACCAGCCGCGAGAACCGGCGGAGCGTGTCGACCTCGTTCGGCTTCCGCGCCCGGCGGAGGTGGTAGTTGACTGCGGCAACAAGCGCCTCGCGGTCGTCCTCGGCCTCGGCCGCGCTCCCGCGAGACGCCACGTCCATAGCCATGAGCTCATCTAGCGATTTCGGCTCGACACACAGCCCAGCTTCGATCATTTGCTGGTGGGCGCGCTCGGCCTCGGCCACAACAGCCTCGTGAGTCCCAGTCCGAGCCCGCGGCCGGCCCTTTTCCATCAAATAACGATACGGTCCCAGGTGCTTGTCCACAAACTCCATCTCCTCCTCGACCGAGTACGACGATGGCAGTCCCGCGAGCTTGATATCATATCCTAGCTGCCGTGTACCTGCTCCAGCCTTGGCTTCCGCCTCTGCAACGGCCTTTGCACCGACCTCTACACCGACCTCGGCACCGACCTCTTCCCCCGCCTTTGTCGTCGCTGCTCCAGTTCCAGTTCCAGCTTCAGCTTCAGCTCCAGCTCTAGCTCTAGCACTAGCCCTGGACTCGGTAGCGGTTGCCGCTGGAGTCGTTGCTGCCATTGTCATTGGCTCACCATTCTTGGCGGCGCCTCCCTCGGCCCCAGCAGCCCCAACCTCGGCCCCAGTGGCCTCGGTCCCCGCCTTGGCCCTCGCCTCGGCCCCAGTGACCTCGGCCCCCGCCTCGGCCCCCGCCTCGGCCCCCGCCTCGGCCCCAGTCTCAGGCCCAATCTGACCTTGGCCCTCGTTGGGCTTGCCTTGCTCGACTCTAGCAACAGACTCGCTCTCCTCCGCTGCTTTCTCGCGCGGTGCAGGAGTGACGCCCGAGGCAACGCTGTGTGGAAGGAGAACAGCGCCGCGAGCGCGCTGGGCAAGACGAGCCACGTCGACCTGGTAGTACGCCTTGTACCGCTTGAGAGACTCTACCTCACACACGGCGAGGTCGACACGCCCTCCTCCACGCTTGCGCTTGAGTGTGTTCATGCTGCAACACAAGTATGTGAGTGGGGTCTGTCGTTTCTAGCCCACGAGAGCACCTCCTCTTCTGTTGCTCGTGGGTGTGGGTGTGGGTGTGTGTGTGGGGGGGGGGGTGGGTTTGGCCGACTTGAACGAATCGGTCACCCGCTACAACCATTGTTTCATCATTGCCATTATCGTTTCTCACCAGACAGCAGAGGCCAGCACAACAAAGCACAAAGACACAG